CTGTTCTTGACTCTTCCGTTTGTTGACTGAGTTCACGGTGATGCTGTCATGTACGTCATTCTCTGGCTGTTGTCTTTTCTTGTTGGTTCTCAATCCACAGAACTCCCTGTAGGATGTTTTGTAGTGCAGAATTGGCTTTGGAAAAATCCCTTAGCTTCTGTTTATCTTGGAATGTTTTGATTATACCATCATAATTAATTGTCAGCTTTGCTGGATAAAGGATTCTTTGTTCACAGTTTTTTCCTTTCAGGGTTTTATATATGTCTCCCCATTGCCTTCTTGCCTGCATGATTTCTGTTGAGAGATCCAAGCTTAATCTGATTTGCTTGCCTTTGTATGTTACACTTCTCTTTTCCCTAGCTGCTTTCAGGATTCTGTCCTTATCTTTGATTTTGGAGAGCTTGATTATTATATGTCTTGATGATTTTCTTTTAGGGTCTATCCTTCCTGGGGTTCGTTGAGCTTCTTGAATGCCTATCTTTTCACTTTTCAGGATGTTAGGAAAATTTTCTTCCAGAAGCTCTTCAACTATCTCCTCTGTGGGCTTGTGTGACTCTTCCTGTTCTGAAATGCTGATAATTCTTAAGTTATTCCTCTTCATGTTGTCCTACATGAATCTTAGGTTTTCTTCAGATTTTTTTATCCTTTTTTTGTGTTTACTCTTCTATCTTAGCAGTGTTGAAAGATTTATCTTCTAGCTCACTAGAGTTCTGGCTTCTATCTCAATTCTACTCCTTTGCCCTTTCCGTGTATTGTCCATTTCTGATATTCTATTATTAATCATTTGGACCTCTTTCTGTAGGTTTTTAGTTGTTTTCAACACTGTACCTATCTGATTTGATTGTTCCTGTAGTGCTTTCCTGACTTCTTCCTTATTTTTCTCAACTCCATTGTATAGTGTTTTGATACATTTTATAATCATTTTCTGAATTCCTTCTCAGACATTTCCAAAGCCTGCCCATCTTGCAGTATGGAGCCCATTTGCCTCAGTCATTTTAACTCATTTCTGGACATGTGCTGATATGATCATATGTTTCTGGGATTTTTGGGCATATTCAGGAGTTATCTGTGGCCTTAATACTTAGATGGGTATGTATTTTGGTATATTTTATGGTTTCTGATTGCCTCCAGGTAGATGTGACCAGAAAATGGGCTTCCCTTTTCCCTCTTCTTACTGAGAAATTTCAAGATGCCACTGTTGGTCATTGTGATGTAACTCAGAATTTAATTTTTGACCTATTTCCCTTTTAGTCTGTCTGTCCCACTCCAGTCTCCATTCAGGCCTTTTTCCTAATGATTAACATTTCAGGGCCGGCTGTGGCCATTTTTCACTGCCGTTTGGTTGTAAGCGGAAACTGTCACTTTAAATTGCAAGGAAATCTGTGCACATGCATAGCAAAACCCTCTGGGGGTGGGGTAGGGTGTCCACTCACTCAGGCATCCCATCTAGTCTCCAGAATGGACACTAGAGAGAGACCAATGAACAGATTAAAAAAAAGAATGTCCACAACTTTATCTCCATGGTTCTGTCAGGCGTCCATGGCTGCTCTGATCCTTCCCCTGCTTGGTCTTGCCCAAGATGCTGGCTCTGGGAACAATTAGTGTCTTGAGTTGGAAAGCAATGGATTTCTTGCTTCTGCTACAAATTCCACTAGCTGTAAGCCTTCCAATCTTCTAAATATTCCTTTATATGTGGTTCAGAGTTCTGCCAGCATCCTCTGAGCCTGCTTGGTCCGATAGTCTGTGTTGTTGCTGATGGAACTCCTCACTACACTTCTACCTAATCCTTCATCTTGTTCGTTCTCCCCCCACTGTCCAACTTTTGCGTGCATATGGGATTACTGAAAATACCATGGCTGGCGTCAGGCATACCTTAGTGATCACACTGACATCCTTACGCTTCAAAACATTAAAGAGGTCTTGTGCAGCATATTTGCCTAATGTAATATGTCATTTGATTTCTTGACTGCTGCTGCCATGAGTGTTGATGGCTGATCCAAGCAAAATGAAATCTTTAACAATTTCAATCTTTTCTCCATTTATATATGGATGTTGTTTATTGGTCCAGTGGTGAAGATTTTTGTTTTGTTTACATTAAGGAGCAACCCATACCAAAGGCTGTGGTCTTTGATCTTCATCAGTAAGTATTTTAAGTCTTCTTCACTTTAAACAAGCAAAGTTGTACTATCTGCATAACGCAGGTTGTTAATCAGTCTTCCTCCAATCCTGATGTCACATTTTCTTCATATAATACCTTCTTGGATTATTTGCTCAGCCTACAGATTGAATAAATATGGTGTAAGAATACAACCCTGGAGCATACCTTTCCTAATTTAAAAACCATTCAGTATTCCGTTGTTCTAACAACTGCCTCTTGATCTATGTACAGATTCCTCATGAGCACAATTAAGTGTTCCAGAATACTCATACTTCACAATGATGTTCATAACTTGTCATGATCCACACAATCGAAAGCCTTTGCATAGTCCATAAAGCACAGGTAAATATCTTTCTGGTATTCTCTGATTTCAACCAAGATCCTTTTGATATCAGCAATGATATCCCTCATTGCACGTCCTCGTCTGAATCCAGCTTGAACCTCTGGAAGTTCTCTGTCATTGTATGATTGCAGTTAATACCATTACTTCGAGGTACAGGGAGCCAAGAGTACTGAGCTCCTGAGAATATGATCATGTGATTCTCACCAAAATCTCTTTAGGAAGGGACTAATTAGGTTTCAAGAGGCAGTTGAGGTTGACAGTGTCAGTTTGATGCGTCAGAACTGGGAGTCATGCCCATTGCTGACTGACTCCAGACATCAGATTCTCTTTGTTTTTCCATGTTGGGAACCCTGGTAGGGCCATGATTCTCCTCTTTGCTGAAGCAGAATTCACTCTCTTGATCCCTCCTCATTACAGTTACTGAAACTCCCTTCTAACACTTCTCATTAGTAAAAGGAAACAAATGAACAAAAAACATTAGGAGGAATTACAAACATCATTATTAACTTTATGAATATCAATGCAAATGCACAGTGGTCTCAAATTGATTTAGTTTATTTATTTAAAATCTTCTCTTTCCATCCAGACTGAAAACAAAATTGGGAACATTTTTCCCCACCACAAATTCAAGACACTACTTCCCTCTTTTTTTCCACACAGTTCGGGCTATGGACATATCCCCATTGCCTTCTCTTTTTACCACAGAATTTCTGTGTGGACCCTGCCTCTCAGGGCACAAAGTCCCCCAAAAGCCAAAAGAGATTCAATAGCAAGCTGAGACCATGTGGTTTGCTCTGTCTTGTTATATTAATGTGAAATCATTAGGGCATTTGGCTCTCCCCCAGTGTTCGTGATGGCAGTGAGACATTTGTGGGCTTGTTGCAGGATGGGGAAGCTCTCTCCTCCGAGCAGGTGCGTCTGAGAGTCAGTCTTTTTTTCATTTCTGTCTGTTTTAGAGAAAAAGAAACAATAGCAGCAAGGGACTGGAATCATTAAAGGCTGTTTCACTTTCTGGGACTGGAATCAATTCAAATTGAAGATAAAAAAAAGCAAATCGAACCCGTGGCTAGCAAATCAATTCCTACTCAGATACTCTGGAGAATAGAGCTGAGCTGAAGTGTCCCATAGGGCTTCTGAGGCAGGAATCTTGACAGATGCAGATGGCCACAACTTTTTCCTGCAGAGCTGCTGGTGAATTTGAATCACTGACCTTTTGGTTAACAGTTTAACACTTAATCCACCATGCCATCAAGGCTCCTCAAATTGAAATAATTTGACTAAAATCAGAGAAAACCATAGTGCAAAACAGCCCACCTTAAAAAAAAAAGAAGAATTTTACATGTTTTCAGTCGACCTAGCAAAACTAATATTCAAGCTGACTTAATAAGACACTTCATGTCATTAGTGGAGAACGTTACCTGAAGCAAATTCTCAGAAGACATGATTATGATATGATTCCTAGTTTATAACCAATGTGAGGATGGCACAAGGACCAGGCAGTGTTTTGTTCTGTTGTACAGAGGGGTAGCTGTGAATCATGCACCAAACAACACCACCATAATGATGACTTTTCTCGGCAAGGTTGGTAGTTCAAACCCACCAGCCTCTCCTTGAGAACCTGTGCAGAGGCGCTATGAGTTGGAACTGACTCTATGGCACTTAGCAAAAACAACAATTCATCTGACATTCAAATAGCATGGGAGTTTTAAAAAATCCCACCTTAGACAACAGCGAAAACTCTGGAGGATGGGAGCATTGCTGTGCAGTCAGGATTGAGAAAGACAATATAGACCAGACGGAGGCAGTGGATCCAGGCTCAGACCCGCAGCTCTAATTTTAGCTCCACCTGCATCACGCTCCTTCCCCAACCTCAGATTCTTCATTTTTAAGATGACTCATTAACTGTCACCACACAACACTAGAAAACATCAACCAATATCTAGCAGAAAATACTTAAAATTTCAACTTCAGACAAATATCTGAACATTAGTAATATTATTTAAAAATATTACAGGATAGCCTGAGAAAGCCAGAAACCTGTAAGAGAAGGAAAAAATATTTCTCACTAAAATGAGTGTTGGAAAACTTGTAAGACCCAGAAAATCAAGGATGTTCTAACAGGGTTTACTGAATTAACAAAATATTATTATTAACCAATCCTGTGAAGGTTCCCTGCAGGCAGAAGAAAAGGTTTAGTAAGTCAGTCAGGAGAGAAGATTAAAAGTTCACAGTGGCAAATAAATATCTCTAAACATACAAAAGGGCTATACGACAGATTACTTATACATTTCCATTTTAATGAAAAATGATCTGTCTTTATATGCTAGCTGCAGAATGCAGAATGATTCGTTGTATCCCAAATGTAGAAGTTACTTTACCGCAAAGCATTGTCTGCCAGGACATTTTAAGATTTGCATTTAATTTTGCCTTATTGAAGTAAAAGACCATAGACTCTTTCAAACATGCCTTAGTAAATGAGCCCCCTTCTATTGCACTGACCAGATTGCAGTCTTCTTGCATTCCTTTTGCCTTCTTTGGACACCCAGTTTTCTCCAGCAGTGTTTTCATGAGGTTTCTTGAGTGGTTCAGGCTGGGTGAGTGGTCACCGGCAGAGAGAACTCGAAGTATATCTGTCAGATGACCTGAACTCCAAGTACTACTGCTGTCCTGGGGTGGGGGGCTTTCTGACTGAGTTTCTACAATGAAGCCAAATAGAAGGAACAAAGGCATCCAAAATATTGAAAATTTTGTCCAGCAACACATTTCAATTCTTCCTTTAGCTTGAGTCTGTCTTGGGTGGAGATGAAAAGTGGATTGCTGTTCACAGCGTAAACTTGCAGCCAGAAAAATTTCTAAGGCAAAGGGGGAAAATAAAGGCTTCAATTATTTTGCCTGGGACATGTTTGAAAGGATTCAATTAATTAGGTGGCTAAGCTGATTTTACAGTGACAAGCTGTTTCTAAACAACTGAGACTCTCTCTGAAGGTATTTTATAATCGTAACCAGTGGAGAACTGGACTTTTAGATTGCAAAAGATTGGATAAGGAGCTTGTTTTACTGTCTCTTTTGGAACTACGCATGTTATTATTGTTATGTGCCACTGAGTCCATTCTGACACTCGGTGATCCTATATGACAGAGCTGAACTGCCCCACAGGGTTTCCAAGATTGTAAACTTTATAGGCAGGAGCGTGGTGGCTCTATAGAGCAAGCATTGGACTAAGAATCAAAAGTGCACAGAGAAAGATGAGGTTTTCTACTCCTGCAATATTTACAGCTTTGGAGACCCTATATAATTATGTTGTTGTTAAGTGCCATCGAGTCGGTTCCGACCCATATTGACCCTGTAACAGGGTTTCTGAGGAGCGGTTGGTGAGCTTGAACCACAGACCTTGCAGTTCAAAAGGCTTTGCAGTCTGGCTCATTAATCCACAGCGCCACACCAGGATTCCTATATATATTGTTGTTGTTAAGTGCCGTCGAGTTGGTTCCAACCCATAGCGACCCTGTATAGGGTTCCCGAGGAGCAGCTGGTGAGCTGAACCGCCGACCTTCCAGTTCAAATGGCTTTGCAGTCTGGCGCATTAACCCACAATGCCACACGGTCACTATAATTCAGAACTGACTTGATGGCACTAACAACAAGAAGTCTTTATAGGAGCAGATTGTTAGGTCTTTTCTCCAGAGGAGTGGCTGGTGAGTACAAACTACAGACTTTTTAGTTAGCATTAAACTACTGCATCCATAAGGGCTCTTTGAATTCAGTTGTTGTTATGTGCTGCGGAGTCAGTTCCGACTCACAGCGACCCTGTACAGGGTTTCGGAGGCTGTAAATCTTTACAAGAGCCGAAAGCCTCATCCTTCTCCCACGGAACAGCTGGTAGTTTCAAACTGCTGTCCCTGAGGTTCACAACCCGATTTGTAACCACTATGCTACCAGAGCTCCTTTTGAATTAAGTAAAGAGTCAGAAATTTTGAAGAATAAGTTTCTCAGTTTATCCTTCAGATGGTCCAACTTACACAAGTAAGACTCAATTGAGGAAACACCTTCATTTGATCTAATTGCAAAATAGAATTTCAAGTGATTTGTGTTCATCATCACTGAAGTAAGTGAATAAAAATAAAAGACAAAATTAATTTCTACTAAATTACCAGTATAATGTTGAGTTAGAAAGTTTTAGACAAAGTAAGGTACTAGAGGAAAATAAGCACTAACAGGAGTCCACTTCTGAGTTCACCATCAATTTTGTGAGCTTACTAAGAAAGAAAGTTCTGAAGTACAGGGTATCTTTCAAAAAAAAAGAGAAACCCAGGACCTCAGCAATTATGAGAAGTCCAATCACTCACTGGTTCCTAAAAGGGTGGGGTTGTGGACACTTTATAATCAATCAATGTTCTGGAAAAGATCAATGTTCTGTAAAAAAAATCCATCTCTACAACCAATTGCTTAAGGAACTCAAAATGCTAACAGCATCTCACATCAGATCCTGGCCGAGAAATAAGCTATTAGTAATGACTGGGATAGTCACAAGGCAAGGAATTACTTTCACTGTTTAAAAAAGTTTAAGATTCTTATGCTAGCATTTAAAAAATGACAGAGAATGATACAAACATTTCTAAACCCAGTGCTTACCTTCAGAAGAAAGATAAATGGTTGTTTATCTGGAGCTCTGCGGTCTTTTAAATCTTGGAGAGTATTCCGTGGTTGCAAAGTATTCCGTTTTTAAAATTCCTTAATGGTGCACTGGAAACGGGAGAGGCTTATTCAGCCTTGAGAAGTTTCCAGTTGCCATGGGGAAAGCTGCTATGAAGGGAACAATGAAGGTGGATGAAAAAGAAAACACTTTCTGTCTGGCAATGTTCAGGATAATCAAATCAATGTGATGAAAGAATCAAACTTTTTATATCAATATTTACTGGTTTACTTAGAATCATTTATAGTTTTTAAAGGATCGAATCTAGGTCAAAGGATCTCACCTTGCAGAATGAAAAGACTATAAAATCAAGATTTTTTTCTTTACAGTTGATTTTTTAACTTTTTTATTGTAAATTGAGTGAAGGTTTACAGATAAGATGATCAGCTTCACCTTCAACAATTTGCACACCTTGTTCCATCTCAATGATTTCACTTCCCTCCATGCAACAATAGTTATCCCAATTCCTCCCTGTGATTCCTACTTGCATTCCACCCACCTTCCTAGCTATCCCTTCTTAACTTTGTCCTTAAGAAAAAGTTGCCCTTTTGATTTAGAATTATCTATTATCATTCCATGGTGAGCATACCTTGCTAGTATACCCCCCACCCCCACCCCGCCCCCTTCAACCTATCAACTGCTAAGCTGAAAATGGGGTCACTTGGGTGAGTTCCTTTCCAAACCTGAAGGGTATTTGAGGACCATATTCTCAGATTCCTCTAGTCTCTTTCTGACCACTAAACCCGTTCTTTATTATTATTATTATTAAATAATTTTGAGTTTTGTCTCACATTGTCTCCACTTTACATGGAACCCTCTAATGTGATCCCTTTTCAAGGCAGTTGGTTCTGGTAGCCGGGCACAGTCTAGTTGCTCTGGTCTCAGAGTTGTGAAGATTGATGTTCACATGTTCCATTAGTTCACTGGAATAATTGATTCCAAGCTTCATCAATTCTTATCATTCTTCTTTATTCTGCACATGGAGAGACATTAAATGGCTACTCATAAGCTTTCAAGATCCCAGATGCTACTTATCCAAACAGGATATAGAACATTGTCTTTATGGGATATGTTATACTAACTGATCATGGCCTTCCTGAGCCCTCAGACCCATCAACTCAGTGCCTTTAGATGTTTGATAATATCTAGGAAGTTTCATCATTTTGCCTGCTGTATGCTCTACCACATTCATAGTGGTATTTGCAGGAAAAGTAAAATACCCTCGTTTAAACTCATATATTTGTGAGATATATAAACATATATATATTCCACTCTTCCTCCCTTACCCATTGTAAGAGTATGTCACATATGTTTCAACCCATGCATACACCCACAAAACACTGTTGGTTCAAGGTTGTGTATATATTACTCTATCCCCTTTAGCCCATGTTTACCTCCCTGTGTCTTCACCTATTCTTTTGGTAACTGTTGTATCCAGACTCAAACCAAGCAATTGCTGAAAAAGATGTGTTCTTTAGAAACTTATTTCACAAGGTTCAGAGGTTTAAAAAATTAAAGCATTCATAAATAGATACTTCCATACATGTATAAGGTGTCTGAGGAAGAAAGCACTACGATTTTCCACTAAAAGGGGTGACAGAAAAGTGGTTAGACTAGGAAAACTAAGGCAGTCCCATCAAATTCGGACTCTCACAGGTTTCACTGTACTTGTTGAATGAAAAAAATTTTATCTTGGAAATAAGTGTATGCAAGTAGGGGACAGTAATTAGCATGTATATATTGTGATTCTCAGAGTCTGAGGTGGAAGTTATTGTAACTGACCCTTCAGGCTCTGCAAAACATAGGCTCTCAAGACACCATTGTTCAATAACAGATACATTTTATAGCAGGTAAAACTTCTTAAGACCCAAGCTTTCAAAAAGGACAAAGCACAAGCAAGAAGTAAATAGTTCATGGACACATAAATGTATCTAAAAAAATCGATGGATAAACACTTTTCAGTTCAGTTCTATAGATGTGGGCTGCAGGTGGTGAAGCAGAGAAAAATAGAAGAAAAATAAACCAGAGTTATTCATCTCATCAATCACTAATTGGATAGGAAAATCAAGATCAACAAGTGGGTAATCTTGAGAGAATGCTAATAAAACTGGTAGAAATAGGAAAGTCAAAATGGTGGGGAAAATCTCAGCTTCTCTTTAATAACCCATCATTCATCACTTATGGATGTATCTCAACTGTTGAGGGGAGCATTTGACCTGTTCCTCTTGAGCTCTAGGGTGAGATTAACTGGTGTTGGAATCCACAATCATCAAACAATGGAGTGAGGAGTTGGAGTAAAGTCAATACCTCCAACATGAAGATGCATTGAGAGGAGAAAAGCAAGGAAGGAATGGGTTCAGGACCAGAGTGGGATTGGACAGAACCAGAGGTGGACTGGACCACAGTACCCTTGGTTGGGACTCCTTGAGTATCATTTGCAGGCTCAGTCTTATTCCAGTCTCAGATTTGCTGGAAGGTTACTAAACAAAAACAGACCAATACCTGTAGTGATTCGGTAATCTATATGGTCCTACTCTGATCTGGTGCCTCTAAATTCCTATTCTTTGCCTTGTTCCTCACTTCCTCCCCCAGCTCCAATTAACATGTCACTCAATGTGTCCTCCATTTCCAAGTCCCACAGTATTATCTGCCTAGTCAGTTCAGGATGGATCCTGATTTGATGGATCAATATTCCCAGGAACAATGGTTCTGCTGGAACTTTGCTTACTCCCCTAGTCCTCTATTCCAGGCCAAAGATCAGCCTGGATGTCCCATATGGACTGGCCTGAGATTCCCTGAAGCTAGAGACTCCCTTCTAATGGGGTCCCAGCATGTTATCTCCTGCAGGAATTCTCCAACTCCAACCACCCCTTCTCAAATGCCCCCTGTACATCTACTATCCTAGCTACAAGCCACATGACTCCAAACTACAAGAATTTTCTGTCACTATTGTGTGCCAGCACCTGCTCTGTTTGGAACTAATCTTGTTCCATCCTTGTAGTCATCCCTACAGTCCAGTCACCAAACCATGTTCCCATTCTTGTCTGTGGTAAGGCAAGGTTGAAGAGAG